TCTTTTTTTGGCTTCTCTTATTCTTATGAAATTCATTGAATTTCTTTCCGACCTAAAACTTTGATGATGTTTTTTTTAGCTTTTTGAATTTTCTCACATCTTCTTCAACACTTTATATAGAGATAAAAATATTCTTTTAAAAAAATCAAGGATGCGATCAGATGGAACAGTGTGTTATTGAGTAATAAATAAAACAACAACTAAATCAGAAAAAAAAGACTTTATAGTATGAATCAATGGATGAATGACGAAAATGAAAATAAAAAAAAGTAATAATTCCATCATTATTGACGATAGATGGAGAATTTCCAATGTACAGAATTCAGATTCTATAACCATCATCATCACACCGGTGAGAATTGTGTGCTGTATATTTTTTTATTGCATTTTCTTTGTTTCGTTCATTCGTTTTGCTAGTTTCCATCTGTTCTAAACACACAAAATTCACTATAGAAATCTACGAATTACAGCCGCATCAATTTTTTCTTTGCCCTGTTTTACCAGTAAAAAATCCGGTTATTGAAGATTTTATTTCTTTTTTTTCTATCAGATTTCAAGTTTTTTGATGAAAAACAAAATAAAAAAAAACACCAGAAAAACCTTTAACAAATAAACCTGGATCATGGAATGGATCTCCAGGTTCTGTATCAATAAATAGTTATTGTTACAAATTTTTTGTTTCATTTTTCATCAGTACAGTGTAATGTTTACCGTTGTTATGGACTTTACCGTTGTGTTTTCTACATTATTTTGGCTGTATGAATAGCTGATATCAAAACACTAGAAAATTTTTCTCTCCTGGCTCAATCCATCTCATCAATATCAACGGCGGTTAGAAAGGAATTTTTTTCCCAGTTTCTGGTATTCGAGAATAGCAAAGTTATTCTCTTTGATTTTTATTTCGTTCTAAACTAAAAACTAATTCATCGTTCTTTTATTTATAGGGAGAAATTTTTTTTTCACCTCTTCAGTGTTGGTTTTTTTTGTTACCATTTTGGGATCGACCAAGATGAACAGTCAATGAACGGAACGAGCCACCACCACCACCATCACCAACCGCACACACACACACACGCAAAAATCCAATAATATTCCTCAACAACACAACATGCTGAGGATAGATAAATGAATTGCTGTTGTAGTCGATTCTGTTGAAACTTTAATCGAAATATTCGTTCAAGAGAAAGGGCAGAAAAGAGGTGTCGTTTTTTTCGTTTGACTTTTCTTTGATGATAATAATGATGGAAAAGGTGAAAGTGGAAAGTATACTTAGATCGAATATGTCAATTTTTTTCTACTGATTGTATGAAGTGTGTGAAGAAATAAATGAAAAACTGTGTTCTCTGCCCATTATGATATGTGAACATTGAACAATTTTCCGGTGTTATTGTTGTTGATGGTGTTTTCTGTGTACAAAAACACTTTTGGAATCGTTTTTTTTTCATTAAATCAATGAAGTAATCATTGTTATACTGTTGTTGTTTTACATTCGTCAGCTAGAATATTCTTTTGTCAGAAATTATTTCGCATAAGTGAGAACAAAAAAAATCTAATTTTAATTTTAATTTCAATTTTTTCTTTTTCTTTCATGCACCAACATTTGATTTTTTTTTATTTGATAAATCAATTTTCGTCATTTTGTTTAGTCATTTTAAATGAGAATATAAAAAAAATAATGAAATTATGATTCAAAAAAAGAATTCTAAAGAATCAAGAATGATAATGATAAAAGGGAGGAGAAGGAGGAAAAGTGAAGAGAAATTGATTGGTTACAAATTTTCAGAAACAAATTACTAACACTACTGAGAAGTAGGAAAAGAAAAAAAAACCAAAATGGAGAATTTTTTTCTCCACTCTCTCTCTCTCTCTTTCTCTCCAACGACTGAAATTGATAATGGATGAATAAAATGAAATTCCAATCGTGTTTTTTTGTTGTTGTTGTTGTTTCACCATTCACTATGTGACAATTTCCAATTCCAATGATGTTTTGCTTGTGTGTGTGTGTGTGTGTGCTGATGTGTGCGTTTGATGTAAGTAATTATAATTGGTAATTGTTTTTTCTTTTAGTTTTGTTGTTGCTATTGTTCACAAATGATTTTGATGATCAATTCGCTGATGCGATAAGTATGTTAATTGTGTGTGTGTGTGTGTGTGTGTCTGTGTGATATGCTTTTTTTTCATTTCATATTCACCCACCCACACACACACACACACACACACATTTTGATTGCATTTTCAATTAAAAATATTTGAAATCTGAATAGAACAAGAAAAAAAAATCCACACATATTGTGATTTATTCAAACAGGAATAGAAATGAAAAAAAAAATTTTTTGAATTACAAAATTCTGTTTGTTTTTTGTCGTTTTAATTTCGATTCGGAATTTGTTTGATCAAACTGATGAACAGATTTTGAGGTCAATAAAACTTTTTATCGTCTACCTGGGTGGTGGTGGTGATGGTGGACCTGATAGATGATGACCACTTGATAATAATAATAATAATGGACCATATTGATTGTTGTTGTTGACAAGGGGTACAAATATGATATTGGCCTTTGAATGAATGGAGGTCGCAAAAAAAAATTTGGTATTGTATTAGTTTAAATAGACAACAACAATATCAATAATTAAGTTAAACAAATATAACTTACCGGTAACCATCAATCGACCATATGTGTGTGTGTGTGTGTGTTTGTACATCAATTGATATTTACCATTTTCAGTTTCTCTTCTCTCTCTTTCTTTAACCGAGAATTCAACAAGCAACCAATCATGGCAGCAAAACAACAACAACAACAACAACAAACATTTGTTGCCAAGTTTTTATTTTTTTTTTTGTTGTCGGTAAAGCTAAAAAAAATGGCCAGAAAAAAAAATTATGAATATGATTGTGATGATTTGTTTGAAACAAAGTAAATATTATGACTGAAAACACACTCACACACACACACACACACCTAATTTTTTTTTTTTTTTTTTTTGATGGAAAATTAAACACAAGAAAAAGAAAGAAATATTCCCATCATCAGCATTATTGGCCAAATAATAATAAAAAAAATACATTGAAAATGGAAATAAAATGTATATGAATCAATCGACAAACAACAAAATTGTGTGTGTATGTGTGTGATATTGGTCTGGTTTAATTTTGATTTTTTTTTTCTTTATAGTTTATACATACAACACACAACCACAGAAAAAAAACAGATGAAATAATCTTTGATGCTTGTAGCCATAAGGTAGTAGATATGATGATTTAGAATATGAGTAAATATTTATGTAGATTTTGCCATTTGTTTGTTATTCAACAGTTTTGCATTTCGATTTTTATATGTAGATCAAATCAGATCATTAAATGTGAATGAGATCATCATCCGCTGATGATGATGACATTGGGAATTTGATAGATAAATCTTTTTTTGATTATGTTGGTGATGAATTGCAAATAAAGGTGAAAATATTACACCAGACACACGTAAAAAGTGATGTGATGAAAAAAAAACCGTTGTTGTCATTTTTTTTCTCTCTCTCTCTCTCTCTCTCTTATATCTATTCAAAGTAAGTAAAGTAAGGTAAAATAAATAAATAAATAAATGAAAAACCCGTGAAAAAATGTGTGAAAAAAAAAATTTGATCATTCTTGATTTCTTGTTTTTTTTGTGTGTGTGTATAAATCAAACAAAAAAGTTTTATTTTTTGCTTTTGCGTTAGTGATATGAAAAGGTAAAGCCAAAGAAAAACAAAATGTCAAATGTCACACCATCACATAGGTGACAATAGAATTTTGCTTTGTTTTGTTGTTTTTTTGAATGAAATGAGAAAAAAAACGTTATCAAAAAAATTTTTTTTTTTCGATCTGACAATTCAAATATTTTACTGCTATTATCATGATGATAATGATGATGATGATGATATGGGGTGTGTGTGTGTGTGTGTTCGCCATTACATGAATGGTAAAAATATTTTTGTATTCAATTTCAGTGTTTTCCATCAAATGTTTTTTTTTCTTGTTCAAAAAATGAAAATCCTTAATAATAATGGCTGGCTTTTCTGGTATATTTTCTGTTTCTGATAAGCTCTCTCTCTCACTCAGTGTGTGTGTGTATTTTGATCATATCATCGTTTAACGAATACGACTTTGTGTTTATAATAATGGTGGTGATGATGATGGTACCCTCCAAGGGATCTAAACCAGCCAGCCTGTGCAAGCCAGTCGAACAAACATTGTCTCACTTGGGACCATGAGAGCTATAGAGCTAGAGATCCATTTACAAGAACAATAATAAGAGATTTTACCGTTATCCGTCTTTTTCAATGAATGATTTTGAATAAATTTTCATATATGGACGGTTGTAAAAAAAAATTGAATTAAATTATGGATTTTTTTTTCGTTTCTTTTTAGATTGATCAAATTGTTACCCTATTCTTCATGGTTTTTTTTCTATGCGATCAATACAATTGTATGAATGTAAAATGATGAATTGGATCCATATCAAAAAAAAGTGTGAATAATACGGTTAATAATCCATTGGTGATACAAAAAAAAACAAGAGGAGAGAAACCGCGACCATCTGTCCATTGTTAAGGATACCGATACCGATTACCTCGTATACCACTACGACAATCACGGAAATTTGAATTTTTTTTTTTTTTTTTTTGATTGAAAATGCTAGAAGCATTAGTTATGATGTTATGGATATAAACAACAACAACGAAAACCACGACGACGACGACGACGACGACGATCACTATACCACCACCACCACCACCACCACCACCACTACGACCATCATCAATAAACTGGAAATTATGAAATGCTATTGCATTTGTCGACTGTTTGTGACGGTGTATGGTCGTCTTTGTTGTCGTCAATTTGATGATGATGATAATCCAATCTTTTGATTCGTGAAAAATTTGTTTTGTTTTTTTTTCGGTAAAATCTCATTTTTTTTTTATTGATTCACCTATGGAAAAATGTTTTGGGCGTGTTTGTGTTTTGTAATGATCAATGATGTATAATCAAATGGATTGTGTTATGATTGATTTCATCCAAATTCTTTATTCATTCACAATGACAATGTGTATTTCTTCTTCCCGCTTTTTTTCAAAGTTTTCTTTTTGTTGATCGTATTATGTTTGTGTGTGTATGTGTGTGTGTGTGTGTGTTGTTAAAATTTTAATCTTCCATCAATAGTGTTAAATGTTAAATGTTTTTGTTTTGCATCTCAATTTTTTTTTTGTCGTTCATCTATCCGAAAAAAAAGTGTTAATGTAAGGTCATTGAGCTGATGACCATCTATCTTTTTTCACCACCTTTTTTGCATCCATTATACATCATTACTGTGTGAAACCAACAACCACCGAAAACTATTCAACAATAAAAACAATGATGGCCATCGATCTAAATCGATGGCATCATACAACTTCTACATCATCATTGGATCGATGTAGAAAAAAATTCCGTTCAACCATATCAACAACGTTATTCATATCATCTTCATCATCATCATCATCATCATCATTTTACATGATCGCCTTGTCATTCTATCTGTTTACAATCATTTCAACACAATTGTTTATTATACCAATAGCGGCTGCCATTGAAAGTAATAATTTTTTTTAATTATTTGATTAGTTAATTAGTTAATTGTGACTGCAATATATAGTAATAATAAATAAGTTTATTGAGAAATTTTCTGGGAATATTTAAAAATTTTTCATATTTCCAGCAAATTACATACTTGTCTCGCTTGTGTGTGTGTGTGGCAATAATTTTAAATTTAATTGAAAATTAACCCAATGTGTGTCTGTGTGTATGTTTTTGCGAAGCCGACAAAAGTTGGCGCCATCATAATCATGTGTGTGTGTGGCTGTGTGTGTCTGATGTAATTTAGTTAATTTATATTTTATATGATGATGATGTGATAGATGAAAATGGAAATTTTTTTTTCTAATTCAATTTAGATAAATTTTCAATTCGATATGGTTTTCAAAAATTTTTTTCCATTTTCAAAATCATAATGAGAAGGGTTATTTCTTGATAATTACAAGCAAAGTTAGAAAGGGATGGAGATAGAAAAAGGATCATTTTGGTGGATTGAATATTAACACTTTGGGTGCCAACATTGTTGTTGTTGTTGATGTTGCTGCTGCACCTACCAGACTATTTTGTCTTATCATTGATTCATACTCCTAAACATTTGAATAAATTAAAATTGGATTTCCGTGACACATAACTTGCTGAGATGTCTTGCTGTTTTCAATGCTTTTCAGTTTTTATCATTTTTGCGGTATTATTTTTTTTTAGGTGTGATGACCATTGGAATTGTTTGTGAATAAAAAAAAATGAAATGAAATTCAAATCTTACGAAAAAAAAACTTGATGATTGAATTTAAAATATTCGAACGATTGTGATAAATCCCTTTTTAATCAAAATGGAATTCAAAATTTTTGTCGTTATGATGATGATCATGTGTCATGTTGAGACAAAAAACCGGATATGTTGTATGTAATGCCGGATAATTCATAATTCCCGGATTGTTTTTGTGTTAGCAAGATTATGTTGGATTTTTCTTTCTCTCTTTTCCTCTATTTAAATGTTTTGAAGATTGATCTATGTCTATGTATATGTATTAGATTCGGCTTGTGATATCATATATGATATGTGTGTTTGTGTTTGTTTAAAAAAACGAAAAAAAAAATTTATTCAACTTTTAAGTTTATCGATATTTTTTATGTTTGTTACAAAATAACTAGAAGAATAGATAGGCAATCTTTGTGTTCTGAATCGATTTACTTGTTCAAAAATGGAATTTTGAATTTGATTTTAAAATTTAAATACAGATATATATATATATTGTATTCTGAATATAGATAATATAGTGAAACAAAATGCACTTTAAAGCGAATATATACATGTATATTTGATTTGATACGACGAAGGGGTGTGTGTGTGTGATGATGTGGTGGTATGTTTCAGAACGCATTTTTTTATTTTTATCTGAAAAATCGATCTGATTTCCGGGAATCTTTCCTACATTTATTTATTTATTTCTTATGTAAACGTGAAAAAGTAAATTTTTCTTTTTTCTTGCATTTCATTTCATCGGTTTCATATTTACCGGGATGATTTTTTTTTATATATATATATTCAATTTGTGAATGCATAATATATATCGATAGATAAAGTACTGATCGATCAATATTAAAAAAAATCATTGCTTATTTTTGAAGTATATATACTTGACATGTGTACTGTGTGTGTGTGTGTGTGTCTGTTTGCATTTGGTTTTTTTTTTTTTTCATTTCGGGTTTTCTTGGTTTTGGCAATTCATCTTGATATTCATCTCAAAGATTTAAGAATCTAAATATATACACACACACATTCGATACAGCTTACACAGGATTCTTGATACATTAATGAAAAGTGTTTCCATTCAAAAATTGATTGGAGTGTGTGTGTTGTTGTTGTTGTTGTTGTATGTTTCATCGGGTAAATACAGATAGATAGAGAAACGGAAGACAAGATTCATAACCTGGTTTTATGGAAATTGTTTTGATTTTTTTTTCTTCAAATCATCATCATCATCATATTATCATAATCGATTTTGATGGGAAATTTTTTTTTCTTGCCAAAAAAAACGGTTATCGGGTTATATAAGACCAGTGATATATAATAACCAATCACATACGATTCGTTGTATGATGATGTTGATGATGATGATGATAATACCCAGTTAAGACAAGTAAAAGTAAGGGTAAAAAGCCTATTATCGTCATTATTATTATTTATTTATTTATTTATATAGAATGAATAAGAAAATTCGATTGTGCATCACACACACAATAATAATGATGATGATGATGATGATTATGACGATTGATGCCATCATCATCATCATAATACTATTAAATGGTTTGGAGAATCTATCTGTGTGTGTGTGAGAAAGAGAAAGAAAGAAATGAATCGATTTTGGATTTTTTGTTTTTTGTACATAGTGAATAGTCAATATATTTTCTAAAGTAAAGTGTTTGTATTGAGTATTATCATATACAGTTAATGTCATCTCATCATTGATTGTTTTTTTTTCCTCTCTGTATTTCCCCTATGTTTGATATGCTTTTCTTTTTGTTTTTGTTTTTGTTGTTGTTGTTGTTACCAGCATTTGTCGATTATAATAGAAATACCCCCAATATATACTTTTTTGATGATGTTCAATACTGTACATATTCAACAACATCACATTGGTTTTGGGTATTAAGACTGAGGATATAACATTATGTTGAAATAGATTTTTCCAAAAATCCAATTGGTTTATGCTGATAATTATGAATGAATGGATGGGTGGATCCAGGATCTTCATTATTTTATCATATCATATTATCGGTTGAATCTTTCCATATCCTTTGAATGATTGACGTGGATACTGTGTGTGTGTGTGTGTTGTGTTTGATTATAAATAATGAAATGAAAATGCATATCAACACAAAAAAAAATAATCGATTTATTCAACAGAATTGTGAAAATCTTTCCGTGTGCAGTGGTACTATGCGTGTGTATCCGTTTCAATTCATTATTCAATTTTGTAAATCTCCAAGAAAAAAAAGAAAAAGAATCGATAAAAATATTCATATCGACTATTTTAACACATTTTCAACGTTATCGATCCAAGTTTTGTTCATTTTTTTCCCTGCATCACATTTGAATCGATTAGAAAGAATTTTGTTTTGAAATTTTTTTTTTTAATTAACATTGATTATTCATCCGGATGTTGTTGTGTTCTATGTGTGTGTGTGTGAAGATAGTATCATCAATGAGTGAGAGAAAAAATGTGTATGTGTGTCCATTTTATCGATGTCAATGAAATTTTTTTTTTAATTTAAATTTAAAAAAAATTAAAACATTTTTTTTCATCTAAAATCCCACGATATATGTGTTTATGTGTGTGGTGGTGATTGAAAATTTCGATAACGTCACAATGTCATTTGCTGTATGGATGATGATGAGGTCAATATTGATAATGATGATTTGTTGTTGTTGATGGTAGAAATAGTTTTTCAATCAAGATTTTTTCTTTAAATAACGACTAATCTATAATTTGCATCTGTCGAGTTAAAATAGTCACCTCCGCTTTTTTACTGTTGTTGTTGTTGTTGTTGTTGTTGATGAAAAAATTGTCCATTATTTTGAACAGAAATGAAATAAAAAAAAAAAAAAAAAACAAATAAATGATGGAAAGAATTATTATCCTCTCATCAACAACATCAGTGTTGATGATCATACACACACACACACACAGGATTCATGGATGTTAAAAATATGGCATAGTACAAATATAGTGTGTGTGTGAGAGAGCGAAAAGAATGGAATTTTTTTTCTTGGTTTTGGTTTTGTCCATAAATCTTAATGTATTTTAAGTAATCTTTCGTTGTTATTATCTTTAACCTCTTATTGTTGTATAATCGTCTTTATGATGTCATCTATTTTTTTTTTTAATAAAAATAATAATAAACGAGAAAAAAGCCATTGTTCTTTATTCGTTCAGTGTATTTTCTGTGTGTGTGTGTGTGTGTGTAATTCACATTGTCGAATGTAGTTTTTTTTATTTTATTTTAATCTCTATTTCGTTAATCTATGCTATTCTTCGTTATTCAGTTGTTTTCGTTTTGAAATTATCATTATGTTTTTTTTTTGTTGTTGTTGCTCGATGAAAGATACTTTCTTTCTTGTGACTTGAATTTCATTTTTAGTTTTTTTTTCAAAGTTTTGTTGTTGTTGTTGTTGTTGGTTAATTGAAATGAATTTTTTTTTCTTTCCTTGTTTGTTGACATTTTGACATTATAAGCGATTTAATTCAATATACCACCACCACCACTTGTAATTAGTTATCATTTTGAATTTCCATTGTTGATTGTGGTTTGTATTGGCGAACAAATGATGTAATTGAATTTTTTTTTTAATTAAGTTAATTAGGCTAAATAGATGGTGGATTCATTAATTCAATAATGTGAAAGAGATAATCTTTGTAAATGGAAAAATATGAACATGAAAACATTAAATTAGTCGATGATAAATCACAATCGATTGTATGATTGATTGAATTGAATTGAATTGATGGATGGACCACACATGAAAAGATTATATCCAAATCGAATCGATTCGATTCGAATGGTAATTTAAAATGTTCATAATGTTCAACCACAGAATTCAAACGTTATCGTCGATTTTTTTTAACTTGATTGCATTTGACATTATGTGGATATTATCGATTTCGGATGATATTGAAAATTGTTTTGCCAAACAAAAAAAAAGGAAAAAAAAATTCAAACAACTATGTCGACCAGAAGCCATAAATTGTTGCACATTCTGCGCCCACCACCATAGCCAAACTAATCACACACATATGTGTGTGACATGCATATATTTTGTTTGGTTTCAAAATTTAAACTATTGTGTGACATGACGACAAAAAGTTTTCGATATCGAAAAACGAAAAAAAACGTCATGTTTGCCTATAAGTAGTCCAACTGCGATTCAATTTTACGGTGATATGCATTTTTTTCTGGTCTTTCGGTTTTTCTCTCTGTTCGTTTTTGTTTAGTTTT